TTACCTGTACAATAAGCTGTTTAAAACGTGCATTCTCCCGTTAAATTTCGAGCATCCAGTAATATAATCACACGTCTTGTGGAGCGCTTTCAGAGTATGCATTTATTTGTCATTTGAACTGTTTGGAAACAGAGCGTAAATGTGGAAGTCCTTCAAAGATTTCTTATCATGTTGCGCCCTCTATAGGACCAGCAACTAGTCGACGTCAAGCTTAAAGCATCATGGCAGAGCATTGAAGTCGATTAGTCGGTGCAACCCCTAGTCTATATGACAGTACTTTTACTCAAATTAAATGAAGTGACTCTCAGTGCAGATTAGGAGATGTTGTTCATGTATTTATGTTCTCATTTAGTGACATTTAACGACAGACGCTGAAGTCACCGCGAGCGTCACAAGCGCTTCAGTGTGTGTGTAGTAAACAAAATCACGCGTCTGTGCCATTCATTTACACAGAGACACGCAGAACATGCAGGATTTATATTTAAATAGTCTTTTTTGAGGCTTAATATTTGAAAAGTTTATTTGCAAAAACCGATAAACGCCACTTTCAAAAAAATGCTCGATCTGAACCCTAAACACGTTTTGTCAAAAAAGCCAGTTTTGTCCACTTTCAAGGCATCCCAAGTTCACGTTTTACTGCAAAAGCAGACAAGCGCCCCTGTTGTTTTTGAACAGAAGCCGATAAGTCCATTTTAGCGAATCAGCGTGCTGTATTCAGGTCTAGTGACAAGGCTACTTTCACTTTGAAAAGACGTGCTAGCTGAGAGGAGTTTCGTTAAAGACGTTACAATGGTGAGCGAAAAGCTCCATGTATTGCGTGTAATCACATCCATACAGTTTATGATCACAACAACAACGTTTGTCAGGCATCTACATTGTCATCTGAGGAGATTACAAAGATTAAACGAGTGTTTTTTAAAACTCTAAAACATGAAATGTGGAGTTATCTGCTTTTGCCAAAAAACGACTGTTGGAGTTGTCTGCTTTTGCTATAAAACAAACTTTTAATATGTAAAAAAACATACTTTCAATTAACTTTAATTTTGTAAATTACCTATACTTGTTTAAGTTATTATTACTTAATCTAAACAACCCAACTGCAGTTTGATTGATATTAATTGTAATGCGCAATAAAAAAACGTGATTTCTGAAAAAAAACAAAAATGGAGTTATCGATTTTTGCAAATGCAAAAAAACGATAAACTCTTCATTTACAGATACTAGTCCATATCGCAATTTGATTTAAGTGTAATGACTTACTACGTGAAATTCCGCTTTATACAGTAAATTCCGTTTTTATGACTGGATTCTGCGATTCCATTCGCGTTTTCCGCATTGCGGAAATCATAGGGCCCTAATCATTCTGACACCAAAGTGAGTGGTAGATTTCTTAAAGGGCCAGAAGACTAAAATAATGAAGCTAGTGTTGTCAAACAGTCCTGAACTTCGGTACCAGGTCGATACTTAAATTTACTATACTTAAAACCTTTTTGCTTAGTTTAAAACCCTTGTTTTGGTACAGTTATTACTTTAAATGTGAGTAGGTGTTCCTGTAGTGTTTAGCAATGTCACAAAATGTCTTTATTTAATTGTTAATCATCCTAAAACCTTATGTTTCTTTAACCCCCTTTCTTCTGTACGATCAGGCCATGGTTGCGTGTTACCCTGGAAACGGAACAGGATACGTGCGACATGTGGACAATCCTAACGGCGACGGACGCTGCATAACCTGCATCTACTATCTGAACAAGAACTGGGATGCGAAGGTATGCTGTGGCCCTGCGTTTACTCTTACTGTTACCTGATTAGTCAGGAGGGGAGTCTTCTCTGATCCATTTCTGCTATTTGGTTTTGATCAGGTTCATGGAGGTTTATTGCAGATCTTCCCCGAGGGTCGTAATGTTGTAGCCAACATCGAGCCTCTGTTTGACCGTCTGCTCATTTTCTGGTCAGATCGCCGGAACCCACATGAGGTGAAACCAGCTTTGGCCACTCGGTGAGTACCCACACTGTTCACAGTTACACAGTCACTCACAAAGAGCCAAATGCAATTTATACGTACAACGTATTCTTAATCAAGTATTATTTATGCACTATATTTATTAATACATTTTATATTTAAATATATTAAATATATGTATTAATATTATGAACGAATAAAAGAATGAACTTTTATTTAATATATTTCCAGTTTTCATTAAAATTTTAGTCTGTTTTAGTAATTTTGTAATGTGCTTGTATTTTGGGGGGTATTTTAAATAGGTTTATTTAATTATTTTGTCTTCAGTTTTAATATTTGTAGTACTTAAACTTTTTTAGTTAGTTGCCATTTTTTATAATTTAAGTTTTATTTATTTATTTTACAATTTCAAAAAGATTAAGAATGGGTTTAGTTTTAGTTAACAATAACAGCACTGGTACAATGTCTTGAACAGACCTCTTCTGTGATTATCATATGTTTAATTTATGAATTAAAATTAATATTTTTAGGGAATTAAGTAAAAAATGTCAGGGTGGTGCAACTGTCTTTCTGTCTATCTATATCCATCTACATTTTAATATTTCTATGTAGTTTAATTTATTTTTATTTCAGTTTTATTTTTTAGTAATTTTAGTACTTTAGTACTAGTTTTGTTTTTCAGTTAGTTGCCAATTTTCATTTACGTTTTAAGTTTTTCATCTAATATTTATATATAAAAATGACAAATAATGGTTTTCGTTTTAGTTAATGATAACACTGGTACAATGACTTGAACACACCTCTTCTGTGATTACCATATTTTTATTTATTTATGAATTAAAATTCATATTTTGAGGGATTAAGTAAAACATTTCAGGGTGGTACAACTGTCTTTCTGCCTATCTATATCCATCTATATGTTATTATTTCTATTTAGTTTAATTTATTTTTATTTCAGTTTTAGTAAGTACTTTAGTACTTTTTTCAGTTAGTTGCCAATCATTTAAGTTTCAAGTTTTTCATCTAATAGTTATACTTAAAATGATTAATAATAGTGACAGATGGTGTCATTTGAATAATCAAACAGATGGTGAACACTAATAACTGAAATGATTATATGTTGCGATTAAACTTTGCAATTGCGATTAAGCAAAATGTGTTAGTTGTATATGTTGTTCCAGAGTTAGCATCATCTGAGGTCTTCTGGGGTGTTGGCATCATCTCCTCTCAGGTGTTCAGTCATCTCAGATCTTCGTAAGGGTTGAATCCAGACTGAAGCTTGTGTAATTCCTAGTTGGATGTGTAATTAAAGTCCCGTGGCAGAAACAGAGAAGCAGATAGAGATTAAATTAGCATAGCTTCTGTTCCAACCAAGCAAAGATTATGTGTTCAACCCAAGCAAAAGAATGAAAATGTGCATTGTATCAGATATACTGTAGCTGAAGTACAAAGTTACGAGAGACATTATGTGAATGCTTGGCTAAAAAGATGTGTCTTTAATCTAGATTTAAACAGAGAGAGTGTGTCTGAACCCCCGAACGTTATCAGGAAGGCTATTCCAGAGTTTGGGAGCCAAATGCGAAAAAGCTCTACCTCCTTTAGTGGACTTTGCTATCCTAGGTACTACCAAGAGTCCAGAGTTTTGTGACTTTAGGGAGCGTGATGGATTGTAGCGTGGTAAAAGACTAGTTAGGTACACAGGAGCTAAACCATTAAGGGCCTTATAAGTAAGTAGTTATATTTTGTAACTGGTGCGGAACTTAATAGGTAGCCAGTGCAGAGACTGTAAAATTGGGGTAATATGATCATATTTCCTTGACCTGGTTAGGACTCTAGCTGCTGCATTTTGGACTACCATTAGCTTGTTTATTGAGGATGCAGGACAACCACCTAGCAGTGCATTACAATAGTCCAGTCTAGATGTCTTGAATGCATGAACTTTTCTGCATCAGAAACAGGTAACATGTTCCATAGCTTGGCAATGTTTCTAAGATGATACAATTTTGGTTTTGTAACATGAGAAATATGATTTTCAAAACAAGTTGCTGCCTAATATAACTACCAAATTTTTGACTGTAGAAGAAGTAACAGTACATCCGTCTATTTGCAAATTGTAATCCAAGAGATTATGTGTACTGTTTTTTGGACCCATAAGTAATATCTCTGTCTTATCTGAATTTAATAGGAGAAAATTATTGGTCATCCAATCTTTACATTTTTAACACTCTCTTAGCTTAGATAATATAGAAGTTTCATCTGGTCTTGTAGAAATATATAGCTGAGTATCATCAGCATAACAATGGAAACTAATCCTGTATTTTCTAATAATATTACCAAGGGGCAACATGCATATTGAAAATAGCAGAGGACCTAGGACAGATCCTTGCGGCACTCCATACTTTACTGCCGATAATCGAGATGATTCCCCATTTAAATAGACAAAGTGATAACAATCGGACAGGTAGGATCTAAACCATCTTAAAGCTTGCCCTTGAATACCTGTATAGTTTTGCATTCGATCTATGAGTATGTCATGATCTATAGTGTCAAAATGCAGCACTAAGATCAAGTAAAACTAGCAATGAGATGCAGCCTTGGTCTGATGCAAGAAGCAAGTCATTTGTAATTTTAACAAGTGCAGTTTCTGTGCTATGATGGGGCCTGAAACCTGACTGAAATTCTTCATAGATATAATTTTTATGCAGGAAGGAGCACAATTGAGCAGACACAACTTTTTCAAAACTTTTAGACATAAACAGAAGATTTGAAATGGGTCTGTAATTTGCCATTTCACTAGGATCTAGTTGTGGTTTCTTAATAAGAGGCTTAATAACCGCCAGCTTGAATGGTTTTGGGACGTGACCTAGAGATAACAACGAGTTAATAATATTGAGAAGTGGTTCTTCTGCTACAGGTACAGTAACAACTCTTTACGTAATTTAGTGGGTACAGGATCTAATAAACATGTTGTTGGCTTAGATGCAGTGATACGTTTATTTAGCTCTTCTTGTCCTGTAGTTGTAAAGCACTGCAGTTTTTCTTTGGGTGTGACGAATGGAACTGTATTACAAGCATTCTGTCAGATCTCAGTCATGTGGTGTGACCAAATGCAGAAACTTGTAGAAAAACCAGAAAACAGAAAAATTACATCATAGAGAGGACCCATGACTGTGTGTCCAGGTCAATAAGTCATATAAATTATCAGCTAATTTGACCTTTTTATGAAAGGGAAAAGTTATTTTAGGCTGTAAAATGTCATGTGGTAGAAACCGCAGTCCTACAGTTCTCGCAACCTCTCATCTCATGGACTGTGATCTATCCAAACACACACACACACGTGCACTCGTCTGACCTCGTCCACCGCCATTGTTCTCACACCGCTACAAACACTACATTTTGATTTGATCCTGCTCTTTAACCACCGCACCTGCAGCTGCTCTTCCTCAGGAAGACGCTCTGTGTTTAAATGAGTTTGATGAAACAAATTAAACGCTGTATTTTTAGCCCATCCTTTTCTAGTAAAACAATCAAAAGAAGCTCTTGCCGTTTACGTTTTAAATTACATTCTACATTTAGGATGAGGGTCATGGTGTATCAGCCCCCATCGCAGCTGGGGGGCGAGGTGGGACGCAGGAAGTACGTGCTTCCTGCTTGCAAGTGGCCGCCGCTTCAGTTTGTGCGCTCGTGCCGGTAGGAGAGAGCCAGGAATAAACAAACTAGTCACTTTACTAGCGTTAACCCTTTCTGTACTTTATCCTAACAATGATCCACATGATTCAGACTCCATATCACAGTTCCTAAACCTCTGCCTTGAGTTAATCAGATCAATACACGGTCATCAGAGTGTCTGATTGAATTAATTTTTCGCTTCCCACAGCTACGCCATCACTGTTTGGTACTTTGATGCAAAAGAGCGTGCTGAAGCGAAGGAGAAGTACATACTGGGTGAGTTTCGTACCTCTTAAAAGAAACTTGTTCTCACTACATGTTTTCATTTTGACTTAAGAGTTCAGTGTGTTTGGTTGGTGGGAACACAGATAGACATTGTAATATTTCAAAATATTTCAAAATGTTACTGTTTTTGCTGTATTTTGGATCAAATAAATGCAGGCTTGGTGAGCAGAAGAAAATTCTTTAAGAAAACATTAAAAATCCTACTATTCAAAAACACTTGACTGACGGTATTTATTTATTTTGATTTTTTCAAAAGTAACAGTAAATACATTAATAATGCTGCCAGAGATTTCTATTTTAAAATAAATACTGCTCTTTTGAACTTTCTATTAATCAAAGAAACCAGAAAAAAATTATGTATCACAGTTTACACAAAAATATTAAGCAACACAACTTCAGCATTGATTAAAAAACCAAAAAAGGTTTGTAGTGGCTGAAAATTCAGCTTTGCCATCAAAGGAATAAATTACATTTTAAATTTGTTTTTGTTATTTAAGTTATTTTAATTCAGAACAATAATTAAATAATACATACAGACTTGGTGAACATAAGGGGCTTCCTTCAAAAACATAAAAAAATCTTTCCGACTACAAACTTTTGAATGGTAGTGTGTACAAAAAACATAATTGATATAAATAAGTATGCAGTTTTGAGTTAAGGTATATTCAGCTGCATTTTACTTCATATGCTAGATAACCATAACCTATTTTTTAGGGCTGGGTAAAAAATATCGATATTTCGATATTAATCGATTCACATTTTTACGGAACGATATCGATTCTTAAATCCCGAGAATCGATTAGTCTAGTCTGTTTTCAGTTAATGGGCGGAACGTTGAAGGGCACTTCCCACCCAATATATCGCAATAAGTATTGTGCTTTGGTGCTTTTAATATGAAACAAAGTCTCCGATTTCAAATTCTGTCCGTTGTATTGCAGTATTCAAACAATAAATGCTGTTTTGGCGCTGCTTAATGTGGAGTGACAGATTGCTGTAGCGCCTCAATTCAACAGACGCGGCAGCACGAGGTGCACGTGAGAATAAATCCATCAAGATTTTATGACAGACACCATTATGTTTATAAAAAAAAAACTAATTGAAGTAAAAATATTGTGTAATTGTAACTTTATTTTAAAAACTTCATTAAGTGTAATTTTAACAAATCAGTCCATTTTAACCTTCAATATTATAGTATTGTAGTACCAACTGACTCTCATGTACAGTATATTTTACAGCATTACAAAATTTGGCATGTACCTGATATATATCTAAAATAATCGAAATAGTAATCGAATTGAATCGCAAGCTTGTGAATGAGAATCTAATCGAATCGTGAAATTTGTGTCAAAACCCAGCCCTACTATTTTTAATAATCTAATACAAAAAAGATACATAATAAAATTATTTTCTTTTTTTTTTATGTGTAGCTTGATGAACACAAACCAAAAAATATGATCATTCATAACAAATGAATGACAGGTCTGTGCAAAGCTGCTTCACATTAGGAACAATTTATAAACAAAAGATCCAAAATACGTCTGACTGGATGAGCCACAATTAAAGCTGTAAAAATGTAAATTCTTAATGCTGTAAACTTTAATATTTAAAATGGTAAAGGTTAGTAACAGCATTTAAATAGTTACATTCTAGATAGTTTTATAATAACTTTAATGTAACTATGTTTTTTATGCCAATTTGTTTTTGAAAACCATAAACACATAAAGTTGACTGTCATTAAACGTCTTTTCTGATGGATTTATTCAAACATTTCTGCTTCTGCCTATGTTAGTGTTAAAATTCCTTTATACTGAGTAAATTTTGAAAGCTGGTTCTCAGCCTGTCAAAGTCTTGCTTTATTTGTCTGCTAAATACTGAACACTTTAATTTGCCTGCTGTTCATCATTAAATATCTTCTCTTTCTCTGTCTTTTAACAGCTACAGGACAGAAAGGAGTTAAAGTGCCCGTCACACAAAGCAGCAAGACCTGAATCTCAGTCATTCGAGTGAACACTCAAGTGTGTCCTGTTTATGTGTGTGGCAGCCCGTGCCGCCGCGCGATTGGCTGTTTTCAAGAGAAGATGCAAGAAACCCAACAATCACAGCTCTTTCTGTGGCCTCAAACATCCAACAAGAAGTTTGATTTGATTGGGTGGGACTGTCTGTAAATTTGATTGGGACTGTCTGTAAATGAACACCATAAACAAACTTGATGGTCACAGCTCTGAAAGGCTGGCAGGATTGGCCGATTTTCCTCAACTCTTGCTTTTCACAACACTACACCTCTGTGTGTAAGTGGGTAGATGAGATTTTCCAGTGGCCTTTGTCATATCCTATTTAGCCCCACGAATGTGTAACCAGCTTAACACTGAGATCTGACTTAAGCGAACGCTCAACTAAATCATGAAAACTGACATAAAATAAGCAACCATCACATTATACATGACTGCTTCGGTGGACACAATCCCTTACGATTGAGCCTGAACAGCGCCCTCTGATGGCGTCAGTTTTCACGCAATCCTTTGTTCACGGAAATCCAGTAGCACCACAAAAATTTTCGCAATAAGCAATTTTGCTTGCAACGGTTTGCTGCAAACTTTAGGGCCGTTCATTTAGAATGTATTTTTGCAGTCCGTCTTCGCTATTTTTTTAAGTGTTGTCCTCGCCATTGCTTCATATTTCAGTGTATTTTCAGAGATTCGCTCCACGTGAGCTGCGTTTTTAAGATGCATCCAAACTGTGTCCCGTGTGAATGGCCGTGACCTCAATTTGTAATACTTTGCTGGGACTGTACATTGAGATGCAACAAAAATAAAATTCTGGCCGATAATGAAAAGCGTTAATTGTTGTCTAATTATAATCGTACGTTATAACCGATAACCGATAAATGGATATAAATATTAAAATTCTATACTATTTTGTAATAATACATTAAAAATAAAACGCTAAAAACTGAATTTAGTCATTTGAAATGCTATAAGTGAATTTTAGGTGTCACAACATTCATAATGTACAGTATGACAAATGATTAAATTTAACAGTGATATCAAATTATTAGTATTGTTACAGAAGTTTAAGTGTTTAAGAAAATTAAATGTAAAAATGCAGAAAATGAGCTGCACAAATAAATATCCAGTATTGATTAATAAATTTAAAAAATCAGTATCGGCCAATACCTAATTTGGAACCGATATATTGTACATCCCTAACTGTAACTGAAGGTCTAAATTAAAGATTTATATATTTGAATTGCATATAAAATGTCCATTTATTTGGATTACAATTTTAACTTAATTTGGGATGCACATTTGTCAGTCGTACATAAAAGAATCATAAGTTGTAATAGCACGAATAAACTGACAGTTTTAAAGACATAATAACCAGGTTTATATATTTATCATCAATAAATCCAATTTCTTTTAGTCTCATACATTTGAACTAACTGAATTATTGCTTGTTCCAAAAGTAGCCATATTTTAACCTTATTAACCATACATTTTAACTGAATAAATGTAATAGGTTTTGCAATAAACAATTTGAATAAATGCATTTTAATAATATATTATTTAAATAAAATCAAATAGATGCAAATAATTAATAATAAACCATGCAATGATTTTTTGTTTCTCTTTATGTTTATGAATCTCTGACAAATATGCATCACATTACGTTTATTAGTTTAAGTTAAAACTCTGTAAACTAAACAAATGGAAATTTTAATGCACATAAAATACATAAATCCTACATTTAAGCCTTAAGATTTTGCAGCATCGCCTCACCACGGCAATCCATTCATCTGAATTAGGAGAAAATGCTTAATCTCTGGATAGAAACCCGATTTTAATGACCTCCATCATCATTTGATGAAATACTGCCTTTCAAATCCCTTTTAAATAAAATCCAGTTTACCTGCTTTCCATAGATGGCAATAAATGGCTACGATAAGTGCGCCGACCACATGCTACAGTCAATCTGGCACATTCTGTAGAAAGAAGCTATGTTTGCCCAGAAAATAATAACAAGGACTTACTTTGAATGTGCATGGCACAATGTCCAACCAGCTCATGTAGGACCTGAATTAACTGGATTCTCTGCGCAGCGGTGAAATCTGCTAGCTGTGTGCTAAAGTGATTTCACTCCAAATAATAATTTCAAATGTGCAATCCGCAGAATGTATGCTCTGTAACAAAATGTCAAAACAGGGTGTCTGTGACCTTTTGAAATACTGCTGCATGCTATCTTGGCTTTAAAGGGTCTTTCTACAGAGATGTACTTACCTGAGAGCTGACAATCTTTTTCCTGCCTCAGAGAGGCGCTGTACAGCAGAAGAGATCAGTAATGAGGCTCTCCAACACACAACAGCCTCATTCTATCAGGTGTCCACACATGCACTACCCTAGTGCCTACATCTCCCAGAGGGCATTGCAAGTTCATCAGGTGCTTCTAAGAGGCTATGTTCAGAATGGAATACTAGCATACTGCACAGCATACACTCTGCACTGCTTATTTAAAACTAGTATGCGACAGTTTGCAAAACTAAATGGTTAAATTGTCAAATGAACTCATTATCATGCCAACAACAACACAAATTAAGGATTTTTTTTTTAAATTCAGGTTTGTGTAAAAATGTATATGAAATATGAATACAAATATATTTTAACATTTGTAAATATATTAAAATGCTCCTAGTATTACTTCGTCTCTCTGGAAACAGAAGGTCAAGCACAATGCATTGTGGGTGCAGTGGTCGTATACAGCAAATTTTGGCAAATGCAGGTCATCCAGGTATCCCACGCAAACTTTTGCACAGTATACATACGGTATATTGCAGAAAACAGTAAGAGAGAAGTGTGCTATTCTGAACATATTCACAATCTGAGAACCTGAGATTTCATGCAAACACGAAACGGCACAGAACAGGAGATTTCCCAGTGTACTATGACCTAGGGGGTGTAGTATTGAGCTGTTCTGTGCTGAGTGCCATAGACGGCCAGAGAAGTAAAACAGTAAAGCACTTTATCATAGAATGTGTGATGTCTGAATGAGAAGCTACCGAAAGAAATGGTTTGTGCTGTGTAACAGTATGAAACTTAAATCAACTGAGAACAAAAACATGTTTGCGTAACCTTTCTGAGTTTTGCAGTATTTAATTAAAATGTGTCAGATTTTTTACAGCTGACCACTGTGGTGCTTTTCTTTTCGGCTTTGATATAACTATAATTGGGTCATTATTCTGCTTAATAGTACCTCTGTTTGTTTCTTTTTGAATAGTAATAATTTATTAAGTCACAATAATTTAATTGAAGTCACATTTTTAATTTTTTAAAATGTAATTGCTGTCTGTGTTATGTTATTATTACAATAATCTTTGTGAATAAAATAATATATGTTAATTAAAATTAAAGCAAAAAAATCGAATATAACTAGAAATATAATTAGAAATGTTGCCTTGGATAACAAATAAAGCTACATATAAATAAAAAAAAAACATACACATACATAAACTCTCAGAAAAAAAGATACAAAAGTTGTCACTGGGGCGGTACCTTTTCAAAAGGCACACCTTTGTACACGAAGAGTCCATATTGGTACCTTAAAAGTACATATTAGTACCTAACATAAAAATCCTACAATGTGATTTTCTGGATTTGTTTTTCTCATTTTGTCTCTCATAGTTGAGGTATACCTATGATGAAAATTACAGGCCTCTCTCATCTTTTTAAGTGGGAGAACTTGCACAATTGGTGGCTGACTAAATACTTTTTTGCCCCACTGTATATATATATAACACTCAGACATAACACATTCATTTTAATGTGTATATCTCATTGTATTCCACTCATTATATATATATATATACAGTGCCGTGAAAATGTTTTTGCCCCCGTCCTGTTTTTAAAATTTTTTTGTATATTTGTCACACTTAAAATATTCAGATCATCAAACTAATTTTAATATTACACAAAGATAATGCAAGTAAATACAAAATGCAGTTTTTAAATGATGATTTCATTTATTCACACAGTAAAAATAAGTAAGTACTGCAGAAAATAATAAATAATAATACTAATTATTATAAAACGTTACTACAACTTAAAATGTAATAATAATAATAAGAGTAGTAGTAGTAGTAGTAGCAGTAATAACAACAATAACAATAATGCATGTATATATTTAAGATAAATATGTTCTATTTACATATATATAAAATATTTATTTTAATAGAAAAAAGATACCTTACAATTTAATAATAAATATAATATAACAACCAAAATAATGTACGTATATTTACAAGCAAAATATATATATATAAAATATTTATTTTAATAGAAAAAAGATACCTTACAATTTAATAATAAATATAATATAACAACCAAAATAATGTACGTATATACTCAAGCAAAATATATATATATAAAATATATTTATTTAAAATATATTTATTTTAAGAAAATAATTTGTATAAATTATATATAATTTATCAAAAATATACATGTATGTGTGTGTATTTATATATACATAATAAATATACACAGTACACACACATATATTATGTAAACACAAACTATTATTTTGACAGCCCTAATTCAATCATTCATTCAGTCGAAACAAATTAAATAAGATTTTAAGAGTTGTTTTTCTCTCTTATCCTACTGTCCTGTCCAATAAAAGTCAAAAAGCTTAACTTTAAAATATGTCACTAAACATATGGTGTGAAAAGCTCTCAAATTAAGAAAATTCAAAGTATGCATGTCTTTTGAAGTCCATATATTATTGTTTATTTCCATATAATTGAACATGAATCTATGATTTATCTACTTTGCAGTTGAGTTTGTGGTAGACTGTACGGTGGATCATTGTTTAAATGCTGGTCCATGTGCACTTGCACACTTAATGAACATTAAATTGGCAGGCGTAATAAAACATGCCTTGACAAGAAAACGTATGCAGTCTGTATGAGGACCAGCATCATAGCGTGACAATCTGATCTTAGTTACTCTTTATATCAAAGGCAGTCCTTTCCCAAACGCATTCTTCACACAAACGTACATTCAAATACACACAGCCTGCGACCTCCTCCTTCCTCTCTGTGTTCCTCACGCTATATGACCATCAGGGTGTTCAGGCGTGGTGACCCACAATCCCAGAGGATCACATTCAAGACAAAAGGCCTCTGCAGTGAGAGAGAAGCAGGCCGGAAGAGACCACTCAAACACACAACACCAGTACATCCTCTGAATGACTTTCTTGTTACCCTCGCTCTCATTTCAGTACAGTATGTACAGTACAGTGGCCTTAGAAAGCATTTTGACATTTAAAAAGTGCTTTGCAACAACTAAAAATATGCTGCTACCAGCTAGGCATCCAATCGTAAGGTGGTCAAACAGGTTTCTGGATTAGTTAACAAGCTAATAAGCATCTAAGACCAGCTACTGTGTTCAGAAATACAGCTACAGTCTGGATTTTCCAGTCGAGTTTTAGGGTTTCCAATTAATCATATTAAATCATGTCAACTTATGTTTGTGTTATGTTTTGTTTTAAAAGTGTGCTTGTGTTGTCTTTAATCTAGCGTAGCGTCAGTTCTGGCAGGTCACGTTAGTCAAGCTCGCATCAGCTGACTCTCAGCTGATCCCCATCAACCTATGGGAATACGACACCTATCTAAGCATTCATATATAAGGTCCCGCAGTAGTATCAGCAGTTTTCGCATTGCTCAATAGCTAATTACCCTCCTCCATCCCCAGCTCCTCCTCTGTCAGTCAGGATTCAGCCTTCTGATTCTCCTTGAATCAGACTAATTCTAAAATGTGTACATAACATTATTGAACTTTAACGATATCTGCAATACATTTATGTTGATTCTGTTCTGTTTACCCTGGGGGGGTACCGCCAATCCAAACTGTAGGCTAATTGTCAATCATCTTTGACGATAGTGGTCCTGACAGAAATATAAATAAATGTCATTGGCTTGGTATTTTGTTACATTTGAAGTGATTTACTGTATGCCTCCAAATATGCATCATATTAACAGAAAATATTAAATTAACATAACTTTCTGCAAGGCAGGTATTTATAAAATTTTCTCACCAAAAAAAAAAATGCAGTTTACACCTAAATACCATTTAGTTCATTTTATATAAGTCTATGAA